AATGCCTTGGTAAAACCCAAGGTGATGCCGTCATTCTTAATGTGCACCCTACTTGCCACCTCAATAGCTGGTCTGTATCGGAGGTGGAAAATAAAGCCAGATGTCTATGAGTAGCCTCTTAGGCCAAGTCAGGTCTTAATCACCCCAGCTTTAGGAAGTGCCCAGCATCCTCCCAGCATGTAGGTAGGCAGGTGCCTAGTGCCTCTTCACAGGGTGGGGACAGATTTCCTAGAACTTCTCCTCCTGTCTCCCCTCTCCCTGCTGCTGGGCCCCCAGGGGACAGCCTGTCCCTTGGATGCCGCTCCCAGGTACCCAGAGCTTGGACTCCACCTTCTCCCCACCTCCACCCCACCTCCCACATCTTGGCTCTTCACCACCAGCCGGAGCCTTCCAGAACCTCTCCAGAGAATGGCTTTTCTTGGGGTACCTTCACTCATTACACAGTTCTGAAAAGGTTTTTCCGGAGATAATTGCTTCTTGGCCTTTGTGTTTTAATTCAACGTGAAATCTGAGGCCAAATAGGAGCAGAGGATGAGACCTGAAAGGGACAGCACTGGGGACATGGGGACCCCTAGCAGCTGGGCGTTTCCCGGCCTGTGGAGCATGTGACCACTCTGCTGTTCCTAGCTCAGTCCTCCAGCAAGTCACTGCACCTCTCTGAGCTTCTCTCACCATATCTGAAGAATGGAAATGGATTTTTCTTACATTGGGAAGCTGAGAGGCACTGTCTGTGAACTGGACATCAGTGAGCGCACAGAAAATAAATCCATGGCAGGGCTCACAGACGCAGGCCAGGCACCTGACTGTCTGCTCTGGATGGCTGACAGTGAATGTTCTGCCCAAGTCAGCCTTCTCCTGCCTGGCAGCTCACGCCCAGACTACTTCTCTCTGGCGCCCTCCTCCCTCGGCGCCGCCCGTGATGTGTGTTAGTATATAATCAGAGAAACTCACACGCGGAGTTTTAAATAATGCCTGCCCTGCCTAAGGTGACTCATCTGAGGCTGTGAGTTCCTGTTCTCCCCTCCCTCGCCGCAAGTGTAGATATCCCCAACCCCACCTTGCTGTCACTAAGCAACTCGACATTGTACAGCACCGATGCAGATAACAGACGAAATGGAGCCTGCTAATTCTCCCCTTCCCTAGAATAGGCTTTTGAGGAGCAATCTCTCCCCTTTCATCCATTTTTCGGTGTCTAAAGAGGAGCAGCTCCACTGGCTGTTGGGTGGGCCGGGGATGGGGAAGGGGAAGGGAACCAACCTCCTCCAGCCTCAAGTCACTTCCTGCTTTAGACAGGATGCCACTCGCAGTGTCTGAGCCACCCCTACCCTGAAGGCATCATTGGCGCGGCGGGAGGGGGGCAGGAAGGGAAGGGAAGGGCAGGTGTAATGACAAAATTCAGACTAGAGAATGTGTTCCTGGTAGGAGGCTGAGCCACATCTGTCTTTTACAGAAGGACATAATCTCTTACCCTTCTGCCTGCCCTTCCTGCCTCCTGCTTCAGAGGGCCCAACAAGAAGGGTCCTGGCAAGAATGTTCTAGTGAAAAGTACCCTGTGAATATGTGGTGCTATGATGGTATCATTACTGTTCATTGATGCCATCTCTAAGGGTGACAATTATGATCTAGTTGAAACAGATTTAGTTGGTCCAAGTAAGAGAGTCCTGGAATTTCGAAAACACCGGTTTCTTCTGCAGAATGATGAAAACCCAAGGACCATCCCAGCAACACAATTGTCTAAATTTGTATGGAACAGTCTTGCATCCTGTTTGTGTCCTCAGAGCAGGCCCAGGGAACTAGCCGCGCTCTCCGCTCCAACTTCTTTCCCATGAAACTCATCCAGTGTAACCCCTGTCTGCTATTTTTTAAATAAAAGCATCTCTTTATGAAGATGGAAGAATTTTGTTCAAAGCATGTAAGGGGATGTAACCTTTTCAAAAGGTTACCTAAAATAAAACAGTCTGAACTCCAATTAAATTTAATTTTAAAATATCAACCCCACCAAAGTTTACAATTTTTTTTTTCAGATGACTATAATAATACAGAGTAAATATATAGAAGTTTTTTTAGCCACTTTCTGGGATGGGCTATGTCCCAGAATGTGACATTCATATTACAAGTGTCAATCTGGGGCCTTTCAAAACTGAAGATGTCTTTTTTTTTTTTTCTTTTGAAATGGAGTCTCTGGCCCAGGCTGGAGTGCAGTGGCATGATCTCGGCTCATTGCAACCTCTGCCCCCCAGGCTCAAGCGATCCTCCGGAGTATGGGATTACAGGCGCGCACGACCATGACCGGTTAATTTTTGTATTTTCAGTAGAGACAAGGTTTCGTCATGTTGGCCAGGCTGGTCTCAAAGATGTCATTCTTGATGTCAAATTCTCATTAAGCTATACCCCAAAATTTTTTTAAAAAAATACAATGTACACAGCAATTATATATACATATATCTTATATACATATTGTCTGATTATAAAATTAGAAACACTTAGAAAGTCCTAAGGAGTACAAGTGTATCTTTCCACTGTTCTCGAGATTTTTAAAAATGCTTGATGTATTATATTCCTTTTTGTTTGTCCTATTCATGGGCTGTTTAGATGTTTTTGTTCCTTTATAACTTTTTTTTTGCCTTCAACATTAAGAATGAAGAAAATACTATATCTTCTTATGCTATGACTTAGACATAATCTCACAAATTCTCAAAAACATGTAACCTACTCCCAACTATCATCGTCCCCATAATCTGAGGTGTCCAGACCATACTGAATTATCTGAGCAAACTCATCTCTGCTTCCCGTGACTAAGGCCGTTTAGAGGACTGGAATAAATGTCCCTACCTCAGTGCCCTCCTGCCGTGTTCCCTGACTGCTGAGGAGCACAGGGCCTAGAGTCGATGGACTGGCTGCGAATCCTCACTCTGTCACTTCTTAGCTGTGTGACCTCAGCAAGTTACTTAACCTCGCCCTGCCTTAGTTGCCTCATCTGTAAAGTGATAGTAATAATAGTACCCGCTTCCTGGGGTTGTGATAAAGCCTGAATGAATATGTGAAAGCACTTACAATACCACCTGCCCCAGTGTTATATAAATATTAGCTATTATAACTGGTTAATCCCGTCCTCTCCCCCCTCCTTCCCTCCCTTTTTTTCTCCCTCCTTCCCTCCATCCCTGGAGCTCTTCTTCGTGAATCAGTACTCAATTCCAGAGCCACTTACGAGGCTCCCTTGCGGCGAGACTGCGGTCTCCTCCGGCCGCACGCTCTTCTGTACACAGCTCCGCACTACACTCCTCGCCCCTAATCCCGAGGCTGGCGCTGCAGAGTGAGCGAGCGCAGGATCTCCAAGCGCGAGCCGAGGCGCCATCGGAACGCTCTTGCCCCCACCCAGACCCCGAGAGTCTGCAGGTCCAGGGTCCCTCTGCCCCACCTCTGCACCTTCCAGGGCAGAGGGCGCTGGGCGGCGCGAGGCACCCGGGAGAGCCGGCTCCGTGGCTTCCTGCTGCCTGACTCCCTGACCACCTAGTTCTGGACCCAGGCTTCTTCACCCTTCGCCGGGGCTGGGCTGCCAGGGACTCGGGGTGGGGCCACCACGCTGCCTTCTTCCTTCAGGAGCTCCGGGTCGCGCGCCCCGCTCCATTTCACGCTCTAGGCAAACGGCGGTTCGGGAAAGGCTGAGCTTGGCCCCCTCCCCGCAGTGAGAGCGCGGCACGGCGGGGCGGGGCGGGGCGGGGCCTTCCGCGGGCGGGAGAGGCCCGGGGGTGCGGGGCCTGCGGCGCAGAGGGAGGGCGGGGCTGCGCCCCCTGGAGGCCCTGCCCGTCCCGCCCCGTCGCGCCCTAAGACCGGGGTTCCGCCTGGAGGCCGCCGCCGCCCCACCCTGCCCGTCGCCGGGGCGGCCTGAGCCTCTGTGTCAAGATCGGACGGCCTTTGCAGCGGGAGCAACAACCATTCCCACAAATTCATGAAATACCAGGCGGGAAATGCGCTCAAAATAGGACGTGCCTTTTTTTTTTTTTTTTTGGAGCTATAAGAGAATATCAAAGTACTTTTTTTTTTTTTTGAGAGGTGCAGTCTTGGTCTGTCACCCAGGCTGGAGTGCAATGGCGCGATTTGGGCTCACTGCAACCTCCGCCTTCGCCTAACAGCCCTGTGGTACAAAAATAACAATAGGGAACATTTTAATGGGGGGGGTGGGCTAATTTTGTTAAATTTACTTTTTGATGCCACCACATTTTGTTGCTAGTGTTAATGAAATGCCACCGATGGCTGGCTGCCAATGTATATATTCTGTGTCTCTTCTTAATTAGGAAGAACATTTGTTCCTTCCATTACCTCAAGTTTGCCCGGCATGGTCAGTTTTACCATTAGTCACCACAAGCACAGTGCTAATTAGTTTTCCAGACCTAAGAAAACGTTTGAGATCAGAATTGGGGTGTGGGGGGTATAGGGGTACTGATGACTCCAAAATAAGAAAGGAAAATTGCAATAGTAAAATGAATGTTTATTTAAATGTCTACAGAATATATCATGTCAATTAGTCAAAGACAACTCAACTTTTATATTGTAATGTATAAATTATAATTAATGTAAAAAGCTAAAATAGAAAATGAAACATGTTTAATATGATATGAGACTGTTCCTCCAAAAGAGTGCCAGTGACCTCCAGAGCTCCAGCTGGCTCCATTCATCACCCACTTTTAGTATCATTTTCTGATTATGAAGAAATGAGTAGAATTATTTTTTTGAGACCCAGTCTTGCTGTGACCCCCGGGCTGGAGTACAATAGCTCGATCTCAGCTCATTGCAACCTCCACCTCCCCAGTTCAAGCGATTCTCCTGCCCCAGCCTCCCAAATAGCTGGGCCTATAGGCGTGTGCCACCACGCCTGGCTAACTTTTGTATTTTTAGTAGAGACAGGGTTTTACCATGTTGGTCAGGCTGATCTCAAACTCCTGACCTCAAGTGATCCGCCTGCCTCAGCCTCCCAAAGTGCTGGACTTACAGGTGTGAGCCACTGCGCCCGCCCAGAATTTTTTTAATAACTGAAAGAAAGAAGGAGTTTAAGGAAGATGCAGACACATATGCAGGAGAAACACCCTCTGAGGGCAATTTAACAGAGCAGCGAATGTGGAAAGGGGAAGGGGAGGTGCTCCTTTTATGCCCAGTTTCCTTGGGAGGAAATCGGGTAGGCGGTCAGGGGTTGCGGGCAGTCATTCCCCTTACTGACCCTCAGGGGCCTCAAGGCCAAGAGCAACTTGGTTGCTGTACATGGGTTAGGGGAAGAGAGGAGAGTTAGGGTGCATGATAGGATAGAGAGGCAATGTACAACTGGATATTTCTATGTACTTGGTCTTTCAAAATTCAAAATTTGCTAACTCATGAATACTTGCATACTGACATAATTTACAGATGCCGTTTAAGGTTGGATAGTTTTGTAATTAATGAGGCATTGTGGATCTCATTGAGAGGCCAATACTGACTCTATGAGTGAAAAACCACCAATTGTTTTTTCTCTGTTCTCACGGCACAACACCCAACACAGAAGATTTCTGTGACCCAACGTGTAGGTGGGTTTCCCCATACACCAAGCACGAAATTGATTCCGCAGCAGACACCAGCTGGCTGTCCTCGACTTCCGTTCCGTTCTGACACCGTCTACCTGCAGATAGTGTCAGATCCCACAGGGTGAGGCTCAGTCCCCCAGGCTCTCCCCACCACCTTCAGATGCCAACTGCAAGTGCCAGGCTGTGCCTTTGACCAACTGGCTATAAATCCGGGATTCCAGGGTCTTCTCTTTGGGTTCAATTAATTTGCCAGAGCAGCTCACAGAACTCAGGGAAATACTCACCTACATTTCTTGGTTTATTACAAAGGATATTACAAAGGTTACAGGTGAAGAGGTGCCTAGAGTGAGGTATGGGCAAGGAGTCAATGCCCTCCCAGGACATGCCCCACCCCCCGTAGCCTCTATATCTTCAGTTACCTAAAGGTCTCCAAACCCAGTCCTTTTGGGTTAGTTTTTTATGGAGGCTTCATTATGTAGGCCTGATTGACTAAATCATTAGCCACTGGTGATCAACTTAACCTTCAGGCCCTCTCCTCTCCAGGGAAGGTGGGGGATAGGGCTGAAAGTCCCAACCCTCTGATCATGCCTTGGTCTTTCCAGTGACCAGCCCCATCCTGAAGCTACCTAGGGACTGCCAGCCACCAGCTGACTCATTAGCATAAAAAGATATCACTTTGGAGACTTTAAGGATTTTAGGAGTTGTATGCCAGAAAACGAGTTTGAACATATACTTCACAATATCACACTGACCTTCGAGAAATGAAGCTGAAAACAGCATAGGCTGAGGCCATCCATGGTGGGGAACGCCCAGGCTGAGGATGAGACGAGGGAGTGAGGACAGAGGCTGAGCGGCTCCGGAGCTGAGTCAACAAATGAGCTGCTAAAAATGACCAGAGATTAATGCAAGAATCAGAATCTGTGACACAATCTCAGATCTGGCTGAAAGGCCTTGATGGGGAAGCAGGACGAAGAGACTAGGATGTATATGTCAGAGGTGGGTTACAAGGGTTAGAAACCTAGGTTGTTGGTACTCTGAGCCCAGCCTGAGACAGAAATTTCCATTGTAGCTACCTGCAGTTGTAAATTTAGCTTACTGATCCAGACTAGTCCTCAGTGACATTGTAAGTAAGGGTGGTTACATCTCCTTTTTGTTCTGTGAAAGGAAAATAAAAATCTCAGGGCCCCAAACTTGTTAAGTCAAAGGGAAAAGCTTGGGAACTGAGTCGTGCAAAGACTGCCTTCCTTCTGTTCCTAAGTAGATAGCTACAAAGATAGAAGGCCATAAACCTCCTAGGGGACCTTCCACGTGATTTGTCCACGAAGAAATTCCACGTAGGTCCCTAGATCTTTAGCCTAAAACAGTTCTGTTGAATTTCACCCTGACAACGTGAATTCACAGCTCATCTTCATAGGTAAAGGACAAAGACAGGACTAGATCCTCCCTCCACTCACTAGAGACAAATGCATGTTTGGCTGCTTCCTGTACCCTGTGATTACTTTATCTAATGTAAAACTGCAGATTCACTGAGACAAATGCATAATTGACTGGCCTTCTACCTCCTCCTTTCAGACGTACAATGTGCATTCAGTGAAAGCCGATCAAAGTCTCAAAAGAATGCAACTGCTTTCCTTTTATCTACCCGCTCATTTTTTCTTTCCTCTTTCTCCCGCTGCCACTCTTTCTCCTCTCAATATTGACGTCTCCAGACCCTTTTTGGAAAAAGCACAGATCACAGAGGTTCCCGTAATTTTGTGTTCTTTGTCCCCCCTGCCAAGTGTGTCTTCAACCTTGGCAAAATAAACCTCTAAAATGACTGAGACTCACCTTGGTCATTTTCTTTGATTTAGAGTTCTTTTGTACCTCTCACTTTCCTCCCACCATACTGGGCAAACAGGCTCCACCCCCTTAAATTCTGTACTCTCAGGACACACTTTTTTTTTTTTTTTTAAAGACAGAGTTTCACTCTTGTTGCCCAGGCTAGAGGGCAATGGCTTGATCTCGACTCACTGCAACCTCCACCTCCTGGGTTCAAGCGATTCTCCTGCCTCAGCCTCCTGAGTAGCTGGGACTACAGGCATGCACCACCA